TGTTTACAGTCTGGTACAAAAAGTGGTTTTGGTCTATATAGCTAATTTTGCCCTTGATGACAACTGTGAGGGGGGTGAATTTTTTTATAACTCATCCGTTTAAATTATATTAAGCCTTAAAGTTCTGCATAATTAAGGGCGTGGCCACTTGAGTGACAGGTGGATTGCCGCTGCTGTCACCACCGTCGAGCTAGGTGGGCGTGGCTTCAGCAACCTGCTCCCGCCTCTTTGCCCATTTTCGATTATCCGGGAGTGACGCGTGGTGACGCGCTGCCAAGATGGCGACGGCCGGCTCCGCCCACTTTTGAGCTTCAAAAACGCTCTTCGGAAATCTACGGGTGACATCACGGACACTACGTCCATGTTTTTATACAGTCTATGGATTTGACTGATTTTCTAAAGCATATTTGTGAAAACAAAAAGCTCTGTCCACCCCACCCTGGTCCAGATGTGAGCCGCCTCTGCCTCAGGCTTCAGTTAAGAGCCCAGGGGCCTTCAGGGGTCAGTGTACTTCTGAGGGGCCCTACAGTGACACATAATCACTTTACAACCTGAAGTTATTAAGTAACTATTCTCAGTTACAAACCCAGATTCTGAGCCTTTTCCACAATCAGACCTTAATAAATGAATGAAAGAATCCTTATTGAGCGTAGATGATCAGTTTCCATGTGCAATATTCCATATATATTTTACAGATGTGATTCGGAGAGTCCTGAAAATCATTTCTAGTGGACTATTTGATGTGATATAGTTATCGTGTGTTTCTCTGCACAGGTACAATTATGTTTCACAACCACACATCTGCAGACAAATGAGAGAGACGGCAGAGGAATGTCCCGTTTAGTCACTTATTCTGCACAACAACTAGTTTTCAGCAGCTTCAGCTGAGGTAAACGCTTCAATAACTGCTCTAACGCTGCATTCCAGCTGTAACGTCTGCAGTTACCAAGAGTTATTGATCCGTTCCAGATCTTCACTGCCAGCAACCTCTCAACAACCAGGGTTGCCAGGTTTTCAAAATAAAACCCGCACAATTGATACTCAAAACAAGCCCAATTGCGTTCCGTGGTTAAAATACATGTAAAATACACGTTTTTGGCAGGGTATCCCTGGCAAAATGTGCATTCCAGGGGCTAAATATCACGTAATTGGGGTCGTGGGCAAAATGAGGACTTGGCAACCCGATCAGCAACATTAAACAAGATAGCAGAGCTTTTCTTGAGGTTTGTAGTAGCAGAATTTTTCACGTTTTATTATTACGTTTTATTATCGCCCTCTGGTGGTGACATGTGATATTACTAATCCAATTACAAGACATAACCATGCAACATCATTTGATGAGGGAAAAATCTAAAACAATTGTTAATTTGTCACCCCAAACCAAAAATTTATAAATGCTATTTGGCATAATTTTTTTTATAATTTTCATGAAAGTTGAGACTTTAGTCTCATTACGTAATGCAACAAAAATACTGATATTTACTGAAATTTTATAGCATTTATACTATATTTGTACAGTCTTTATGCTGATTTCAATAAATTCCTAAAGAGATACTGACAGAAGCTGTAAACTTGAAGAAATAAATGAAGAAATTGCTTAATTGTTGTGAAAATGTCACAATGCAAAACATCTTAACAGTCCTAAAAAAATTTAAAAAATCAAATTTTAAAAATAATTTTTCTTTTTTGTTTAGATTTTGATACTGGCAGCAGCTGTAAACCTGAAGAATTAAATGAAGAGTTGACTTAATTGTCATGAAAATGTCAGAGTATAAAACATCAAAACAAAGGTCCTAAAAAAAATAATTTAAAAAAATTTTTTGTTCTTTTTCTAGCTTCTTTTTTGTTTTGATTTTGAGGTAAATTATGAGATTAACGTGAAAATAAATTAATAATTTTGTATTAATTGCATTCTATTCCTAAAAAGATATAAACCTGAAGAATTAAATGAAGAATTTGCTGAATTGTCATGAAAATGTCAAGGACCAAAACATCTTAATGGTCCTAAAAATAAAAATAAAAGTACATTAGATAAAGTAAAATTAAAAAGTAAATTATTAAAATGACATAAAAATAAATTAACATAATTTAATTAGTGTTTTTAATTAATTTTATTATTAGAAGAGTATCAATTTTATAAATATATTTATGAATTCTTAATGCTCTTAAAAATATTTTTTTTAAGTTTTAAGTCTTTTTTGTTTTGATTTTGGTCCTAAACAAAAAAGTAAATTAGATATAGTAAAATTAAAAAGTAAATTATTAGAATGACAAAAAATGTATATAATAATTAAAAAATAAATTAACAAAATTAGTTTTTAATTAATTTTATTATTAGAAGAGTATCAATTCTATAATTATATTTATGAATTCTTAATGCTCTTAAAAATATTTTTTTTAAGTTTTAAGTCTTTTTTGTTTTGATTTTGGTCCTAAACAAAAAAGTAAATTAGATATAGTAAAATTAAAAAGTAAATTATTAGAATGACAAAAAATGTATATAATAATTAAAAAATAAATTAACAAAATTAGTTTTTAATTAATTTTATTATTAGAAGAGTATCAATTCTATAATTATATTTATGAATTCTTAATGCTCTTAAAAAAAAATTTTTTCATTATTTTTTTTAAGTCTTAAGTCTTTTTTGTTTTGATTTTATGGTAAATTATGAGATTAATGTGAAAATAAATTAACTTTTTTTTTTTACGTATCAATTACATTACATTCCTAAAGAGATATAAACCCGAAAGAATTAAATGAAGAATTTGCTTAATTGTCATGAAAATGTCACAAAACATCTTAATGGTCCTAAAAACAAAAACAAAAATTTTTAAATAATTTTTTAATGTCTTAAGTCTTTTTTGTTTTTATTTTGAGGTGAATTATGAGATTAATGTGACAATAAATTAATACTTTTAAAAAAACATTAATTCTATTTTTTATCAAGTTTATGTATACATTTTTAATGCTCTTAAAAATTTATTACGTTTTATTATCGCCCTCTGGTGGTGACATGTGATATTACTAATCCAATTACAAGACATAACCATGCAACATCATTTGATGAGGGAAAAATCTAAAACAATTGTTAATTTGTCACCCCAAACCAAAAATTTATAAATGCTATTTGGCATAATTTTTTTTATAATTTTCATGAAAGTTGAGACTTTAGTCTCATTACGTAATGCAACAAAAATACTGATATTTACTGAAATTTTATAGCATTTATACTATATTTGTACAGTCTTTATGCTGATTTCAATAAATTCCTAAAGAGATACTGACAGAAGCTGTAAACTTGAAGAAATAAATGAAGAAATTGCTTAATTTTTGTGAAAATGTCACAATGCAAAACATCTTAACAGTCCTAAAAAAATTTAAACAAATCAAATTTTAAAAATAATTTTTCTTTTTTGTTTAGATTTTGATACTGGCAGCAGCTGTAAACCTGAAGAATTAAATGAAGAGTTGACTTAATTGTCATGAAAATGTCAGAGTATAAAACATCAAAACAAAGGTCCTAAAAAAATAATTAAAAAAAAATTTTTGTTCTTTTTCTAGCTTCTTTTTTGTTTTGATTTTGAGGTAAATTATGAGATTAACGTGAAAATAAATTAATAATTTTGTATTAATTGCATTCTATTCCTAAAAAGATATAAACCTGAAGAATTAAATGAAGAATTTGCTGAATTGTCATGAAAATGTCAAGGACCAAAACATCTTAATGGTCCTAAAAATAAAAATAAAAGTACATTAGATAAAGTAAAATTAAAAAGTAAATTATTAAAATGACATAAAAATAAATTAACATAATTTAATTAGTGTTTTTAATTAATTTTATTATTAGAAGAGTATCAATTTTATAAATATATTTATGAATTCTTAATGCTCTTAAAAATATTTTTTTTAAGTTTTAAGTCTTTTTTGTTTTGATTTTGGTCCTAAACAAAAAAGTAAATTAGATATAGTAAAATTAAAAAGTAAATTATTAGAATGACAAAAAATGTATATAATAATTAAAAAATAAATTAACAAAATTAGTTTTTAATTAATTTTATTATTAGAAGAGTATCAATTCTATAATTATATTTATGAATTCTTAATGCTCTTAAAAAAAAATTTTTTCATTATTTTTTTTAAGTCTTAAGTCTTTTTTGTTTTGATTTTATGGTAAATTATGAGATTAATGTGAAAATAAATTAACTTTTTTTTTTTACGTATCAATTACATTACATTCCTAAAGAGATATAAACCCGAAAGAATTAAATGAAGAATTTGCTTAATTGTCATGAAAATGTCACAAAACATCTTAATGGTCCTAAAAACAAAAACAAAAATTTTTAAATAATTTTTTAATGTCTTAAGTCTTTTTTGTTTTTATTTTGAGGTGAATTATGAGATTAATGTGACAATAAATTAATACTTTTAAAAAAACATTAATTCTATTTTTTATCAAGTTTATGTATACATTTTTAATGCTCTTAAAAATATGTTTAAAAATATTTGTTTTGATTTTGAGGTGAATTATGAGATTGATGTGACAATAAATTAATACTTTTTAAAAAACATTAATTCTATTTTCTATCAAGTTTATGTATCAAATTTAATGCTCTAAAAATGTTTAAAAATCAAAATTTTTTTTTAAAGGTGATTGTTTTTTATTTTGAGGTGAATTATGAGATTGATGTGACAACAAATTAATACTTTAAAAAAAAACATTAATTCTATTTCCTATCAAGTTTATGTATACATTTTTAATGCTCTTAAACGCTTTTTCGTTTTGATTTTGGGGTGATGTAAAAATAGCAGCAGTTACATTCTGTCCCCCCCTCTCCCTCCGCCCTCCCCCTCTCCTCACACCCCAGAGCCAATCAGCTTCTCCGCATCCTGATCACATGCTCCATCCTTTCTGTCTCTCTCCTCACGACTGCAGACGGTGCATCTGAGGCTGGATGGGAAGGTAATGACAGACGCAGACATGGAGCATCCGTCGCAGGGATCGTCCGGAGCGAACGCCTCTCTCTCTCCTCCGACGCTCAGCCCCTCCATCCCTCCCTTCGTCAAGCTGGGCCTGACTCTGGCCTACACCGTCTTCTACTCGCTGCTGTTCTCCTTCATCTACGCTCAGCTGTGGCTGGTGCTGCGCTACAGACACAAGCGCTTCAGCTTCCAGACGGCGTTCCTGTTCCTGTGTCTGCTGTGGGCGGCTCTGCGCGCGCTGCTCTTCTCCTTCTACTTCAGAGACTGCGTGACGGCCAACGCTCTCGGACCCTTCTCCTTCTGGCTGCTCTACTGCTTCCCCGTCTGCCTGCAGTTCTTCACGCTCAGCCTCATGAACCTCTACTGCGCTCAGGTGAGCAGAAACCAGGGAGGCCACGTCTGGCCGGTCCTAAAGGATGCCAAACAAAAACCAGGTCTTTAATTAGAAACCAAAAATATAATCTAAATCATTTTACAATCAAATTAAATCATGTTAAATAGGAATATTGTGATTCCCAATGGGATGAAATAAAAAATATATTTTAAGGAAATCATTGCAATACCTAAAGATACTAACGTGATTACCATGTATAATATGTGACCCTGGAGCACAAAACCAGTCATAAGGGTCAATTTTTTGAAATTGAGATTTATGCATCATCTGAAAGCTGAATAAATAAGCTTTCCATTGATGTATGGTTTGTTAGGATCGGACAATATGTGGCTGAGATACAACTATTTGAAAATCTGGAATCTGAGGGTGCAACAAAATCTAAATATTGAGAAAATCATCTTTAAAGTTGTTCAAATGAAGTTCTTAGCAATGCATATTACTAGCAATCGGATAAATCCCGAATTACATTATACTTCATTGTGACCAAAGGGTTGATAAGAAGCTAATAGCTAAAAAACAATAATAAAAATATACAATTCTACAATTCAACATACTTATAGTTATATTTAATTATAATTATATTAATTAAAATTATTTTTAAATGAAAACAATCTAAAACTTTTAAACCATAAAAGTAAAAATATTATGAATATTATGATACCCAATAGGATTAAAAAAAAAAATTAAAGGAAACATTAATTAGTAAAATCATAAAAAATTTAAAATTAAGATAAATAATTTTAAAATCAAATCAAATGAAAATAAAACGCTATTTGAATTATATTGTAAAAATCAAATAGATAATTTTAAAATACTTTATTGTGCTCAAATAGTTGATGAAAAGCTAATAATAACATAATACAAATTTAAAATCTACATTAAATCGTAAAATAAACTACATAATTCTAAAATAAAAACAATCAAAATAAAACACGTAAATAAATGAATAATTTTAACATAAAATGAAAATAAAACACTAAAAATTAAATAATAAAAATGTTAAAAAGTTGTACAATTTGAGTAGAATTCAAATTAAACATTACACAGCATCCAAAAGAAAAATCCTGAATTGAAATAAACTTTATTGTGCCCGAAAGGTTGATGAATAGCTAATAATTAGCAACACAATAAAAATGTTAAATCAAAACAAATAATTTTAAAACAAAACAAATCAGAATAAAACACTAAAAGTAATTATATCATAGTGTAATATTTAAATAAATCATTTGCAAATAAAAACAATCAAAATAAAACTAAAAATGAATTAAATCGTGAAAATGTAAAATTAACTAAATAAATACAAATTATACTGAATGCAAAATGGGTGATTCTTAATAGGATACAATAAAAATAAAGGAACTATTTATTTTAAAATACCTCTTTTTAAAAAAAGGACAATAACAAACAGTAAATTTTTCAATATTACTAATATGATTCCCTTTAACTGTCCACTAGTAAGACATTACTCCTATATCATTTGAGTGGAGTTCTAATAAACATACATAAACATTATGCATCTAATAAGAACCAGGAATAGATTTAGGGAACATGAATGCTTCTGCTCGTGTTCAAACACGTGTGACCTACATTGAGACTGGATCTGCGTCATGTATCGATGAATACAGTGTACAGTGAGTATGGGACCGGCAGACTCTAATATCAGAGTCTCACAGTCCTTCATTAGTCAGGAATGATGAGGAAGAATCAGGCTTCTTTTGACAGGTTCTCTTCAAAGCCAAGACAAAGTACTCTCCTCACCTCCTTAAATATGAGTTATTACCATGAGATTTTATCTTCTTAATAAAATTCAAATTAATATATTAATCATAATATAAAAAAACCAGGGAAAAAATGCATTTTAAAAATGTAAAATTCTTCATAATAAATAATAATATGTTTAATATAATATAAGCAAACATAATAAAAACACAAAAACCTGTAAAAATTAAATCATATGAAATGTTAAATTAATTTAAAAAACAATTTAGTATAAAAACATAGAAAACGAATTATATCATAACAAAAGTAAAATGAATTTTAAAATTAAAAACCCTAAATCATAAAAATACAATTATTTGAAAACAAAAAATTAAAACAAAACACTAAAAAAGTGAATAAAAAATGTAAAATTAAAATAAAACTCTAAAAATGAATACAATCATAAAAATGTACATTTTAAATAATAATTTTACAATTAAAATTAAACACTTACTTAAAATGAATAAAGTCAAATGAATAAAATTTAATTTTGGTGTTTTATTTTCATTTTATGTTAAAATTATTCATTCATTTGTTTTATTTTGATTGTTTTTATTTGAGAATGATGTGGTTTATTTGACAATTTTCTGATTTAATGTTTAGTCATTTGATTTTACATTTTTATTGTTATTATTAGCTTCTCATCAACTATTTGAGCACAAAGTATTTTAAAATTATTTATTTGATTTCTACAATATAATTTAAATAGTTTTATTTTCTTTTGATTTGATTTTAAAATTATTTATTTGATTTCTACAATATAATTTAAATAGTGTTTTATTTTCTTTTGATTTGATTTTAAAATTATTTATTTGATTTCTACAATATAATTTAAATAGTGTTTCATTTTATTTTGATTTTTAAATTATTTATTTGATTTCTACAATATAATTTAAATAGTGTTTCATTTTATTTTGATTTTTAAATTATTTATTTGATTTTTTTATTTGGTTTCTACAATATAATTTAAATAGTGTTTTATTTTATTTTGATTTTTAAATTATTTATTTGATTTCTACAATATAATTTAAATAGTGTTTCATTTTATTTTGATTTTAAAATTATTTATTAGATTTTTTTATTTGATTTCTACAATATAATTTAAATAGTGTTTTATTTTATTTTGATTTTAAAATTATTTATTTGATTTCTACAATATAATTTAAATAGAGTTTAATTTTCTTTTGATTTGATTTTACAATTATATATTTGATTTCTACAATATAATTTAAATAGCGTTTTGTTTTCTCTTGATTTGATTTTAGAATTATTAGTTTATCTTTAATTAGTACTGTTTGGTAAGTCAGTAATAATGATGATAAATCGTGTTTGTTTTGGCAGGTTTTCTTCAAGGCCAAGTCGAAGTTCTCTCCTGAGCTCCTGAAGTATAAGTGCGTGATTAAGCTGATATTTCTGTGTAGTCTCTGTGTAAAGCTGTCCCGTCATGCGCTGATGTTCTCGTGCGTCTGCAGGTGTCCTCTGAACCTGCTGTTCGTCGGCGTGAGCTTGCTGTTTCTGCTGGTCAATCTGACCTGTGCTCTGCTGGTGAAGACGAGCCTCGCTCAGGTCAAGAGCGTCGTTCTGGTGCGCGTCGCCATCAACGACTCGCTCTTCGTCCTCTGCGCCGTCTCGCTCGCCGTCTGCCTCTACAAGATCGCCAAGATGTCGCTCGCCAGCATCTACCTGGAGTCCAAGGTGAGAGACACACCCATCACACGACACGCTTCAGATCTATTACACAGAAATCCTGTCTTCATTTACACTGGATTAGAGTTCCCCGAACTGGGTCGATGAGGAGCTAATCAAAATATTAAAATATATCATAAAAATCTAAAATTAAAACAAACAATGGTATTTAATAATAATAATATAATAGCAACAGTTAAACAATTTATTTTATTAAATCATAAAAATTTAATAATTACTTAATAGTAATAATAATATAATAGTAACTGGGTCGATAGCTAATCAAAATATTAAAATATATCATAAAAATCTAAAATTAAAACAAACAATGGTATTTAATAATAATAATATAATAGCAACAGTTAAACAATTTATTTTATTAAATCATAAAAATTTAATAATTACTTACTTAAAATAATAATATAATAGTAATTATTTTATTATAATAATTTTAA